ACTGACATCACACCACGCACAGCTCTGAGGTTCCCACTTTAGTTGTGATTGAATAGAGCTATGACCACTGGAGCAGAAAGAAGCCATTCAGATGTGATTGCGTGAAGACGTGTCTAGTAATGGGTAGATGATTTTGGGCAAGTCAATGAATATTTTAAATCCTTTGCAAGTAGTGAAAAGGGTTGAATTTGGAACAGAGAAGATGATGGCAGGGGAAAAACACTTCATTTTTCTCTCAGTCTCCCATTTAAAAACAAAAAAACTAAGCAATGTTTTGTTTTAATTTCTTGTGACCCTTAAATCTCCATCATCCCATGTCATGTGTGTGTGTATGTGTGTGTGTGTGTGTGTGTGTGTGTGTGTGTGTGTGTGCGTGCGTGCATGTTAAGGTATACATGCCCATGCAGAGGCTAGAGGGGAATGTTAAGTGTCTTCCTCTATCACTTCCTACTTTATTTGAGGCAGGATCTCTCACTGAACCTGAAGTTCAGTTTTCCACTATCCTAGGATTGTCTTATCTCTGCCTTCTAATGCTGGGGTTACAGGTACCACATTACCACATACAGCCATGTTCAGCTGGGGATTTAAACTCAGGTCTTCTTGCTTACGTAGCAAGTACTGTTACCTGCTGAGCCATCTCCCCAACCTCCTCAATCACTTAAAATTTTTTTCAATTTAATCACATATTTTAGAACACTATATTGAATCTAATTACCTTTTTATTTAAAAATGTTTTATTTATTTTTATGTGTATGAGTGTAATGCCTGCATGTAGGTAGGTGCACCTGTGTTGTGCAGTGCCTGCAGAGGTCAAAAGAGGATATCACATCCCCTGGAATTGGACTTACAGATGGTTGTTATCCACTATGTGGGTGCTGGGAATTGAACCCAGGTCCTCTGTAAGAGCAGCCAGTGCTCTTACTGCTGAGCTCTCTCTCCAGCTCCCCAAATACCTTTTTAAAATTATTTATTTTTATTTTATGTGTATGAGTGTTTTGTCTGTGTGTATGTAAGTATACTTGTGTCATGCAAAGTCCTAGGAGGCCAGAAGAGGGAGTCAGATCTCCTGAGACTGGAATTATGCTTCTTAGCTGCTGTGTGTATTCTGGGAATCGAAGAGCCTGGGTCCTTTGCAAGAGCAGCCAGTGCTCTTAACCATGAATACATCTCTCTAACCCCTTAATTATCTTTTTAAAAGAAAACAGTTACCAAAAATAATTAATGAAAAATAAGCAAAATTTCCAAATTGAATATGTATCATTTATTTTAAAATTAAAGGCCCAGTGCTAAATTTAAAGATGAAAAATTATTTTCTACTTAAGCATATGTTGAGGGGATGGGGTTATACTCTGAATTTTGTTTTTTGTTTTTTGTTTTTTTTTTTTTTTTTTTGAGACAGGGTCTCCTTAGAGCCCCAGCTGGCTTGGAACTTGCTATATAGACCAGTCTGGCCTTGATCTCACAGAGATCTGTGTGCTTCTGCCACCTGAGTGTTGAGATTGAAAGTATGTTCCACCACGCCTAGTCATATTCCAGATTTTATCCTCTGCCCCCTCCCCCCATCCAATACACACACATTGCTTTTCATTCAGAAAGGAGTATGGTTGGTTTGATTTAGACAGTTTCATTAGTTACTCGTTCACTGCCCCTTGCTGCCACTGTTCTCACTGCCCCTTGCTGCCACTGTTCTCATCTGTCAGCAGAGATGGCACCAACCCCCGTATGCTACAGGCCCAGTATAAGTTGTAGTAGTAAGAACACAGCAGAGGGTAAAGTTAGTCCTCCATGGAAGTGTGGACAAAGGAAAACAGAGTGATAGATGATTGCAAACTGAGCCCTAAAGGCTGATTAGAATAAAATTATACTTTTCCTGTAGGCTGGATGAGAGGGGAAGAACAATGCTTAGCCTAGTACCAATAGGCCTGGGGCTACATCTCCTTCTGTGCCACTTCCTGGGACAGAGGCAGAGGGAAAACACGACACTGCTGTGCAGAAATGTGCCCCTAACTAGATGACCTCTCAGCCGGCACACGCTGGCACTCTCTGATCTCTGCCTCAGTTTCTCATCTTTTTCCCTCCAACCTTCTGTCAGCCTCTTAGAACCTTTTCTGCCCTGGAGCACTACAAAGTTCTTGCCATTTGCTGGACAGTGCTCCCTTGTACACTGGTTACTGTGCCTGTGTCTGTGTAAGGTCCAGACATTATGTCTCTGGGTATTTAGAAATAACAGAGCAGCAAGGGCTAGAAGGATGGCTGTGTCAAGAGAGGCCAAAGCTAAGAATGTCTTGGATTTATTTATCTATTTATGTTTTTAAAGACAGGGTCTTCTGTAGCCCTGGCTGGCCTCCAACTCACTATGAATCCAAGGATGGCCTTGATCTCCTGATCCTCCTGCCTCCTCCCCTTGCTCGGGTTCCAGGCTTGTGCCACCATACCCAGCTCTTAGTTTTATTTTTGATGTATTTATGTATCTCCCAAGGGTGGAGGGTTGATGTGATCTAAATAGGTTTACTTCAGTTTTGGTCAGGGTTTGTCCTTTGACTTGCATTCTTGCAGTTGATCACCAATTTTAGCATTAAAATATTTTATTTATTTGTATTTTATGTTTATGAGTGTTTTGCCTACATGTTCATAAGTGTACCACCTGCATGCAGTGCCCCTAGAGGCTGGAAGGGGGCATTGGATCCCTGGAACTGGAGTTATAGACAGTTGTTAGCCACTATGCAGGTGCTAGGAATGGAACCCAGGTCCTCCACAAGAGCAGCAACTGCTCATAACCTCTGAATCATCTCTCTAGCCCCAATTTGGGCATTTATGATTGGCCTTCTCTGTGGTAGAATTAAAAGCATATAAAATGTCATACCCCAAAGCCCACAATTGAATATTCAGGCAACTCTTTATAATGTATGAATAGGTACATATGCTTCTCTGTATCTACACACAAGTACATGCACACATCAGGAGTTGGAGAGATCTGTCTTGCCTTACACTTTAGAAACCTAAAGCCTGGATTTTCTACAGTGAGATTTGGAATACAGATAAATCAGAGTAATTGGCCAGTTTTTAAATGATTTTGAGAAAGCAAGCCATTTTTTAATAAAAAGTTTCTGTTTAACTTAAACATTTTACAGCCACAACTCACTTGTTCTCAGTTTTCAAAACACAAACTTTAAGAAAGATACGTGTAGTTTTAAGGGCAAATGGCACTCTTCATTCTAAATGGAGTTGCATATAAATTTTTCTTCTATATGATTCATTTTACCCATCCATATTCTCTTTGAAACAAGATATTTGGTGCCTAAAAATATGTCAAGGTGTCTTGCTCAAGAGACTTTGAAGTAAAAACCGTGGCATCCTTCTTTGGGTTTAACACTGCAGAGTGATGCATATATTGTCTTTGTTAGTTAACTCCATCTGTTCAGTAAGCCTGAAATAGGAATTGGATGGTGCTGTATATATGTATAGATGGGTAAGACTGCACAATAGTGAGCCAGCAGCTCCATCTCCAAATGGGTTTTCAGTTTTCCTATTAGTACCAGTTGCTAGAGTGCTGTAGCGAGAAGGCTCATTCCTTCACAGTCTGTTGTGGATTGGGCACCCGGTGTTGTACAATTGTGCAGCATGAGGAAAGAGTATTAAGTTTCCATCCTGTGCTAGAAAAAGGGTAACCATTCTATAAGTTCTCTGTCAGATGAAGGAATCACTCACCTTGAAAATCTAAAGCTCCTTGTCATGACCTGTAAATCAGAACAACTTTTCCAACCTTGTGGAAGCATTCAAGAACAGAAGTCAGACTTCCTTGTGAACATGTTTGTTTTGTTTGGTCGAACATCTTCATAGCACTGAATTATTATTCTCTGACTATAGGGAGGCAAGTTAAATTTCCTGGGCAAAGAGAATTTCCACGTTGCACAGCTCAACAATGTCTAGATCCCCAATGAGTTAGCTAGCAGAAGGGGTATAGCTTGTGGCATCTCTGTGGTTAGGGCAGGACACCATGTCTCAGAAGCCAGAGAGATGACCACTTAGTTGCTAAGGCAGGCCTGCAGTGTCAAGCATATTATCAGCACATTCTCCTGCCCTAGCCCCCATGGTGGGTCTCTTGCGTGTCTTCAGTGAGTTCATGATTTGAATGCCCATCTGCAGAAGACAGTGTATGCATTTCTAATTCTCTTACCCATGGCCATTTTTTTCTTTCCTTCATTCTGAGTCATCTTTGATTAAACAAAACAAAGATGTTACTGTTAATTATGCATCTTTTCAAACAGTACAGAAGTTGTGTTTTGTGTATGTGGTGGGGGATGGTTTTGATAGGAATAGTAATTTATGATTTTTTTTTAAACCATGGACCAAAAAGAAAGATGTTAAGACTCATACTGCAAAAGAGTCTAAAGTAGGAAAAATTGTTTCTGCCCTTTTCCCCTTCAAATCCCTCAACTCAAACCTCACATTTTCTGCCTAACATACTGTTGTTAACATAGCTCTGTTGACCATTTTTATTGTTTTTTTTTTATTAAAAAAAGCTATATTTAAGAATTTCCAACGACAGCTCTTATTTTTATAGCATCCAAGCATGGGACTCAAAATTCCAGCAAACACTAACAGCAACAGCAAAAACAAATGACCTTTTCCAAGATGATCAGTGTGAAACATGCATGATTGTGTGTGTGTGTGTGCACCTGTGTGTGTATGCACACACACACACATACACACACACATGCACATATATGCACTGCACGTTTCCACCCTTATTTTTTCTGGCCTAAAAATTAAAGTCCCTTGCTGGCCTCCTTTGGTGGTACAGGGCCAGATCTTTAAATTTTCAGGCAGGTGTTTGTGGCAACTGTGACTTTGCAACAATTACGTGAATGAGCAAAAATTTGTGGACAGATTTATTGTTTTCAACAAATGGAAATTATATGGTGGTGCTTTGTGGGTGGTTTATGTGTGGAGAGCGCTTGATTCTCTTTTGATTTCTATCTTTTTTTTTTCTTGTACAGTGTTTTGAAGGAGCAGGATGCTGATCTAGACGTGCAAAAAGTAAGTTGACAAGTTCTATGTTAAAGGCAAATGCTTATGAATTAGAAAGCATTTCTTATTGGAACCCTGAGATTGCAGTTGAAGCTGTAGGGTTTTTTTTTGTTTATTTTTGTTTTTTGAGAACAGGTCTCAAGTATCCCAGGCTGACTTCAGACCCACTGAGTACTCACTTGACTTCTTGATTCTCCAGACTTCACCTCCCAAGTGCTGAGATTACAGGCATTCACCAAGCCTGATTAATTCCACAGGTTTCTAAGAGAGAAGTTGACTTGGAGAGATAATTAGAAAATAAAATAGAAGGAAAATCTTAGTTCACTTCAATTTGGACAATGATGAAAACATGCATTTTAGCTCTAAGTCTCCCCACCCCATAAGCAGAATGGAGCAACTGCTGTGTGGCTGATAAGCTTGTGCACCAGTCACGGTGAAGAGTCCTCTGTCTTTAGTTACGTGTCCTAAAGCCCATTTATTGTCACTTTTTCCTCCACTACAAGGTGGATAATGCTTACCTCTTCCCTAGCTGTACCTTTGAGTTATGGCCACTATGCAATAGGTCATTCATTCAGTTAACTTTTTGCATGTCTGTCCACTGGGTGCTAGGTATTATGCTGAACTCTGTTAAGGTAGAAAAGGATGTGACGGAGAACTATTACTATGAATTGCCATAGTACAATTACTGTGGTAATTATACCATGTGGTAGCTCTGGAAGCTTAGAAAGGGCTAGAATATCTAGAAAGCAGCTTGTTGGAGGTGACTGTGTGAAGCAACCATGCATTCATTGTCTGGAAGTATAATCCAGGTCTTCTAAATAGCCTTCTTTCTTGACTCCCAGGTTCCTTAGGTTCCTCACTGAAATACTAAACTTATGCTGGGCTTACTGGGTACTCTGGGGATTCCTTTTCTGTCTAACCACATTGCCTAGTGGGTAATTTCTATCTGTTCTTGGCTACATCCCTCCATTCCTTGGCCCCCCTCAGAGGATTGCCACTTCATCATCATCATCATCATCATCAGTGACTTAGAAGAGGTTCTCATTTTGAATTGTCTCATTTGAGACACTAATTTAGGACAGTTGTGAGTAATCTCCTCACCCTTTATCTCACACAGGCCCCTGGCTTCTGCAGAATCTACTTCTATGAGCTTTCAACTCATACAAACAAGGGTAAATAAAAGTTCTAGTCAGGGGACTGGAGAGATGGCTCAGCGGTTAAGAGCACTGACTGCTCTTGCAGAGGACCCGGGTTCAATTCCCAGCACCCACATGGCGGCTATGAATTGTCCTTAACTTCAGTTCCAGGGGAATCCAAAGCCCTCTTCTGACTTCCGTGACATGGATGCACTCACATGGATGCACTCACATACATGCAGGCACTACACATAAAATAATAAATAAAATATTTTTTAAAAAGTTCTAGTCAGGACAAGACAGAGGGACCCTTTTGAGAATCTATGCCCAGTTGGGTTTGGAGGCCAGGAGTTGAAAAGGCTTTTCTCTTTGGAAGGTCATCACACTGTAACCTTCATGGTCCAGGCCAGGCCCACAGTGGACTGTGATTTTTGTGTGCCAAAGGCACTCAGGGCTTGCCCAGAAACACCTGGTATTGTCCAGGTGGCAGGACTTGGCCTACACTGTCAGCTCAGGCAGAGTGAATCAGAAGGAGCTTGATCCCAGCCTCTTAGGAACCAACCACAAGAGGATTAATTTAGGTCCCTACTACCATCCTAATAAGAAGTAAGCAGTAGGGTTCCGTGAATGATATCTGGGCTTCAGTAGAAGAATTAACCCTTGTTTCGTTTCTGTTGTTAATTTTCTATAAGACTGTAAGGAAATTACTTCTGGAATCTCATTTTTCTCATTACTAAAGTGGTCTCTTTTCAGGATCAAGTAAAATTATCCATGTTTTAAATTTAGAAACACAAACTACTTTTTGTTTTCTGACATGGGTTTTATACCAAAAATGGGAAAAAGGGGTGTTGGCCATGAAGCTAAAGAATTCTCAGTAAAGCCAATAGGAAGTGGAGATACCAGAAGGCTGGGCTTTGCCAGCTGCCCCTCCAGGTTCAGAGCCAGGAGTCTGAGTGTCCAACAAAGGACTGAGCAGATGTGACTGCCCCTGTCCTCTGGTGCCCCCAAGTACTGAAAGAGTTCAGAATATGGAACTCTAAATAAGAGGTATGGAATGCTTCCTGGACTTCAGAGTGAATCTGACCTGCCACTAAAGGGCTCTGCCTGCTCTCTCAGTCAAGCAGCTAATGGCCTGAAAAACACATATGCCTTAAGTGAGTTCACCCTTTGCAAAATCCTAACTCAGAATCCTTTTTTTAATGCTGGTAGAGGGTGATTAAGCACAGTGTACCAACTCTTCCTTTTGCCTGTGTTTATTTATCTGCCAAGGCAATCTGGTACAGGAAGGAGTTCCTCCATCATATAAACAAATGATTCCTGATGTCCATGTGAGTGGAGTAAAACCATCATAGTGTTTGTTTGTAAAATGGATTTTTGAGTTTCTTCTTTTAGTTCCACATTTTTGTAGTGACAAAACTCTGTATGAGAAGTGAACTTTATTTTGAAACGCCTAAGTTCACATGTAAGTCAACATTATTTCTGAATTACTTGCTAACAGTAGCAGATTAAACTACTACTGTAGACAGAGGGCTTTGTGAATGTTATGCTGACCTAATACCGCAGGCCCTCGCCAGGTACTGTGGCCACATCAGGAATCCCAATCACATCTTTCTGGGTCTGGAGCCTTCCTTTTCCCATAGCCCACCTTACCTTGGAGTGGATGTAGTATTTGAATCAATACATTTGTGTACCTTCTGTTGGAAAGTTTTATTAGAAAGCGGTGTCATTTCCCAAAGAGATCTTTCCTGACATCTTCCCTACCCCAGCTCTTGAGTCTATGGTCTATCACCATGGCCTTTTTCAAAGCTATTATTGTAGTTCTCTAGTTGTTTGTACAGCACTTGTCTAGGAACTGTGTTCCCTGATGAACTGTAAGCTGTGTCAGGTCAGAATCCTGGCCTGTGCTAAACCTAATGCTTGGCTCTAGTAGGTCCTCCAAAAATGTTAGTTTCAGGCATGAATGAATAACAGCCAAATTAAGGGGTAATGAGAGCCCATGAAAGCCACTTTGATATATGACAAAATTTTAAAAGCAATCCTATTGTACATTCCAGAAACAATGGTTTTTCTTTTGTCTCTTAGGGATTTTATTTGTGGAAAGGATGTTTGTTAATAGCATTATGTGGAGATAAGAAAACCATTCCTTGGCTTTCTCTCCCAGAGTACAAAGTTTCAAGCAGATAAATGAGTAATTCTTAAGAATGAAATAATTTGGACAAGCAGAGCAAGTCCAAAGATAAAAGAGGAAGAAACCTCAGGAGCACAATAAAAAAAATCAAAATTGGTTTTTGTTGTTGTTTTTATTGTTTGTTTTGTTTTTTTTTTTTGTTTTTTTTTTTTTGCACTGACTCTTCTAGCATTCTTGAGGTATACAGTTCTGAGTATGGGTTCTATAAATCACTATTTTACATGTATAAAGTTTATCTTTTGAAAGTGAAATCTATATGCATCTGAATTTTAGAGGATAAAAATGCACATTTTGAATAAAAAGCTGATTAAATGGATTCTATTTAGTAATTTAAATCCTGGTTTAAATGGATTTAATTAAAGTAATATCTACTTTGATCGTAACTACTGTCCAAGAGAGGTTTGTTTCTCTTATTTCCTGGATGGCCTTTGTCTCATGACTTTGAAAGTATTTCAGTGCTTTCCAGCACAAAGAGGGAGTCCCCTGGAGCATCTGCAGTTTTAGGGAGATCAAGAATTCCTGTATTGACATTCCGTCTGTTCGTAGCAGCTAGACAGCTGCACTGAAGACTACAAGTTCTCCTGCCTGTTTGACAGACACAGTGGCCTTTCAAAACAAACAAAAAACTGCCCTTCAAAAAGAAGAATTTTTTTCCCACTGTAAAATTATTTTCCTAGAATCTCTTGACATATAAATGTGTTGGTCCTAAGTATACACAGAGGCTGCTCTATTTTTTAATATCTCTTTAGTCTGGGGGCGTGGTGGAGAGATTTCTCAGTGGTTAAGAGCACTGACTGCTCTTGGAGAGGACCCAGGTTCAATTCCCAGCACCCACATAGCAGCCAACAGTCACCATAACTCCAGTTCCAGAGGATCTGACACCCTCTTCTGACCTCCATGGGTATTGTGTAACACGGGTGTACTTATATACATACAGACAATATACTCACACACATGAAATAAAAATAATAAATCAAATATTAGAAAATATTTTTTGGTTTTAATTTCTCTTAATTCCCAAGAGAAATGATAAAATAACCTAGATTTTCATTTTGGAGTTAGTCTTATGGGAAAAAATAATGTAGTTCTAAATAGTTAAGAGTTTGAAATTCAAGGCAGTATCTGGAATCCAACTAATTTAAAGTCGTGTGATTCCTCCATAGCTGGTTAGGAGGGGGAAAGGCTAATTCAATTGAGTTTTTTTCTTTAGATGGGGGATATGATTTTCTGGGCTCTGAAGGTCGGTAGTGTTTATATGGATCATCCAAAGGTTTCAAAATGCTGGTTGTAGGATGACATAAAGGTGTGCCTCCTCTGTGAATGAGGATGGAATGATTTGGGGTACCTCCCTGTGTGTGATGGTTCCTTTAGGGAAGTGGGAGAAATGGGGGAAAGGAGAAAGGAAACCAAGTTCAAGCACAGCTCTCAGCTTTCTGAGGAAGCCCTTCCTGAATGAAAATGAGGGAGCCCCAGTGTTTGTCCTGCCTGCCCAGAATTGGAGGTTAGAGAGGGCAGCTCCAGTGTGTAGGTATGCTGTGTCCTTTAGCCGTCCAACATGTGTATTTCAGACTGGCCAGCCCCAGGAACTGTAGGATTCCACATTCTCTTCATTTTCCCTCCCTCTGGCCTCAACCTCACCCATTTTGCAGACAAGCCTCGCTGAGAGCAGATCACATTTCACACCA